TATTTTTGTTAGTATTACTTTATGTTAATGTTATTTAATATTAGTTAATGTTAGTGTTATTTAATAATAGTTAATATTGTGATATTAGTTATTGTTAGTGTTAGTTGATGTTAGTTAATATTAGTTATTATTTGTTGATGCTATGATATTGTTATTATTATTGTTATTATTGTTGTTGTTGTTGTTATTATTATTATTATTATTATTATTATTATTATTATTATTATTATTATTATTATTATTATTATTATCTCAAAAACAGACAAAGTCATACAACCTACAATAAATTAGTGGGAAGCCAAGATACAAGCTGGGTCCCCACTCCTCTAGCTATAGCAAATTCTACCCTAGCAAAGATATGAGCTGCCGCACGAGCCCCAATGTCTTGCGTCGTCGAGAATCTCTGAACCCGCTTTAGCAACGCAACAGCCTCTTTCTCTAATTCCCCAAGCGAAGAAAAGGAGAAGGGAATGAAACCATATCCAATGAGCCGACACCTAGCTTCATACTTCACCCGCTTCTGATAAGCCGCATCGGCCACATTCTGTCCAGGAACAAAGTCAGATAACCCTGTCTGTGTCAAAGGAGAAGACCCTGTTAATGAATTTATTATTATTATTATTATTATTATTATTATTATTATTATTATTATGCTAATCTGGACGTGTTTTTTTGTGTTTGTCTTGTATTTTTATAGGATTCGGAGGTTGAAGAAGGCGATGACGTTGTGAATTATAGTGCAAATTTTGTGACAGACAAGGTTTTTCGAACGTTTGAGGATGCAATTAACACTAGTAGAATAAATTAAATTGGAAGCGGTTCAAACCCCCTAATTGGAAGTGGTTTTGAACCGCTTCGGTTTGGGGGGCTTCCCATAGCAACTTTAAATGGGAAGCGGTTCAAACTGCTTCCCATTTGAAGGGAATTGGAAGCGGTTTGATGCCTGAACCGCTTCCCATTATGGCTTTAAAAAAAAAAATTCACCAAAACCTTTCTTCAACCAAACGAACAGGGCATCTAGGCTAATAGAACGAAGGAAAATTGATAAAAAAATATAAAACATAAGTATGAAAATATATACTACGTATTTCCATTAATAAGCTGTAATATTACATTTATAATTCGTCCAAAAAATTACATTTATAATTCAGAAAAAAAAAATTACATAAGTATGAAAATATATACTACGTATTTCCACCACCACGCATCTGAAGCCACCACCCATCTAACGCCACCAACGCATCTGACATAGAATTGAAACAAATCTCAACAAATTTACTCATTATGCAAAACAATTGAAGCAGAATTGAAACAAATTCATTAACCCATCAACTAATTTACAAACCATAACCAAATTTCAACTTAATAATTGCAAATAAACCACAAATCGAACCGATTCAAGGCAATCAAACATAAAATTTGAAGATAAATTTTGAAAAAAAAGATTAAACTAGATCTGAATTCTTACTGAAATTGCGTTGTCGATTGTTGTTGTTGTTGTTGTTGTTGGCGTGGCGTTGTTGCTCGCTTTTACTCGGTGGGTTGCTCGCTGTTGCTCGGTGGTTGTTGCTCGCTGGTGCCCGGTGATGTTGCTCGCTGTTGCTGTGTTGATGGGGTGCAGTGGTTGTCGGTCGTGGTTGTCGTGGCCAAAGGAGATGGAGAGAGGTGAAGGAGATGGAGAGAGAGGAGAGAGCAGAGAGCAGGGGATGGAGAGAGATGAAAGGCGTGAGAAATTAGGGGAATGAGGAGAGAGAAGAAGAAGACGTGAAATTATTATTGGTAGCCCGATTTTATTTGGCAAATGGGGAGCGGTTCATGTTCAAACCGCTTCTAATTATAAAATTTGGGAGCGGTTCACCCTTAACCGCTTCCAATTTGTATTTTTTTTTAAAAAATTTATGTAAATTGGTTTTTGGAAGCGGAATTCAATAACCGCTTCCAATTTGTGGCTTCCCATTACCTTTTTTCTTCTAGTGTAAATGGGCGGATGATGTTGCCATAAATCTAGGATTTATTTTAGTGAAATCATCTTTCAACAAAACAAGAGATGGTCGACCATATCGGTATTTGAGATGTGATCGGGGACGCAGGAGTAAGCCGAGAGATCTTGAGAACGCAATTCGAAAGGACACAAAAACCAAAGCCAATGGTTGTCCTTTCTACATCAAGATATACTACGAGTTCATCACCGACAGTTGGATTACCCGGGCGAAAAATGATGAAACTGGGACCCACAACCATCCAATGATTGTGTATCCAGAGGGGCATCGTAAAATTAGTGGGTTGAGCCCAGATGCGAAGCAGGTTGTGCGTGACATGATGAAGTTTAAGGTTGCACCGCGTAACATCATGGCGACTATTGTCGAGCAATTTCCTGATGATCATCTAAACATCAGACACATCTACAACTGCCGGAATGACTTGAGGTCAGAGATGTCTGATGGGAGAGGAGTTGTTCAGCAATTTCTACATTTGGCGAGACAGCGTCAATATCTTTACTGGGTTATGTCTGATGATGAAGGTGTTTTACAGCACGCCTTTATGGCGCACCCAGTCATGGTAGAAATCTTTCGGACGTACCCATATGTGATCGGTATGGATTCCACTTACAAGACCAACCGATACGGGATGCTGTTCTTTGAGATAATTGGTGTGACACCGACAAATCAGAATTTCCTCGTTTTTTACGTGTTCATGCGCAACGAGTGCACGACAAGCTATCGATGGGTTTTGCAAAGATTGAGAGACTTGATTGGGTATGATAAGGAACCGTCGGTTTTCTTGACAGACCGTGAGCTTGGGCTATGTGCGGCCTTGAGGGAAGTGTTTCCAGGGACCCCGCACTTACTTTGTCAATGGCACATTAACAAAGATGTGGAGGCTCGGGTCTCTGCTATATTCAAAAACAAGAAGATCGGTGCGACTTTCAAAAATGGAAAATGGAAACGTATCATGGATGCTGCAACCGAGGATGATTATGATGCTGCCGTAGATACACTGAAAGATCGGTGGGCAAGTTCCCAGCGGTGATACAACATGTTGAGAGAACATGACTTAGTCATAAAACGAAGTTTGTGACATTTTGGACAAACCAAGTTCTACATCTAAGCAACACCAGCACTTGCAAAGTTGAGAGCCAACATTCGGCCGTGAAGATGTGGTTTGAGTCCTCGACAGGTTTGTTGTTTGGATGTTGTAGTTCATGTATATACTTTGTTGTAGTTATATTTGTTATAAATCATAACGGTATTTTTTTGTAATTTGCAGGTTCTTTAGATACCATATGGGCCCGAGTTCATTGCCATATTAGTAATCAGATCATCGCAATTCGTAACGGTTTGGAGGCTTCTAGGTCAAAGATAGGTCAGAAGTACCGACAATTGCCACTGTCACGTATTAACGGCAAGGTGTCTCAGCATTGTTTGAAGGTTCTCGATGACGAGACAAAAAGGATGAGGGAGCTGAGCTATCAGGTGTATTAGCGATGTGGATGTGCAATGCGTGTGACCCACGGTTTGCCCTGTGCTTGCCAGATACATGACTCTCTAGCTGCAGGGACAGGCTTGTATATTAGGAAAATTCACCCGTTCTGGAAGACCTTGGTTATCAGTGATGGTGATGGTGGACCGGTGTTCAGTAATGACTCGGCCGAGGACGCCGCACATTTTCGTTCTCTGATGGATGAGGTAATCGGTAGTGATCGTGCTGTTCTTCGAAACGTATCTCGCATCATTGAAGAAGAACTGTATCCGGATCATTCTGACCTCGGAGATCTTGTTGTAAACCACCAGGTTCGTGGTTGACAAAGAAACAATGATACAAGACGTGATCCTTGTTATTTTGAACATGTGAACCGCTAGAACACTGCACGTGGTGCACGCCAAATAGGTAAGATTGACTATTGTGATTTTCACGTATTTCATTATTTACTGTACTAATAACTGAATCCTAAATTTGTGCAGAAGATCCATGTGACATTAGCCAAAGCCATTATCGACAAATGCTTCCAGGACCGATGTTGCCTTACATTACAGGATGGAAGGATGTCATCGGCGATGGTAACTGCGGCTTTTGTTGTGTGGCCGAGTTCTTCTTCGGTGATCAAGGACGATGGTATGACGCTTGAGAAACAATAGCAAACGAGGTCCTTGGTTATCCAACCCTGTATGAGAGGATTTACGGGCTTGGAAGACTTGGGATCAATGTGGAGCGAATTAGATGGAACGGTGGGGCGGTTGATTCCCGTCATTGGATGGCTGCAATTCAAGATTTATTTCCTATGCTAATTGGTTCAACGCAATGGTTATTATTCTTGGTGTTGGCACCGTACCAACCTGCTACTACCCATGCCTCACGATTTTGTCGTTGCGGGCACGAAGGGGGGTCACTGCACCTGAACGAGAGTTTGTGATCGCTATAGTTGGGGGCTCACATTTTATCTGTATTGACCTTGCACCAGATTCACCTCTTCCCTGAATTGCAGGTTGGTGGACTGAGAACCACGAGCCAAGTGTTGACGGTTGGGATCAACGTTATGCAGCTAGAAGGAACATGTGGGATGCGTTAATTAGATAAGAATGCATTTATGTACATTCATTTATTGTGAACAGTTGTAGATATGTAAAGTGTAAATAAAAATTCTGAATCAAACAAAGTTTCAACTAAAACCACACAAAAACAATAGTCCAATTCTTAAAATACATGCCGAATGTAGAGTAAATAAACGAAATGCGTACAACTAAAACAAAAACTAATAAACAGGGAATTCACAACCGCATCATCGCCCTCTAATCAGCTTGTAGCGCTTCAGCCATTGCTCTCGTATCACGCGATAAGCTCGGATACTCGTTCAGTGTCCTATTGATAACCTCCATGGACCGACCCATCCACTACAATAAAAAAAACAACATATTAGTACTTACGTAATCCGTGTTAGTTCTCTCTGGCAGTGCGCGACTCCCATGTGATGACGCAACTGGAGAAACACGAGGATGAGAAAATTAGTACAACCACTGCATGTAACCAGGATCGACCGTAGGAGCACCACCACCAAGCCTGCTGAGGGGACTTAACACCACACTGAAAGACGCACCAGGGACAAACCGAGTCCACATCACATATGTCATCTCTGGCGAAAAGTCTACTCGATACATCTTCAAGTTCGTCGGTCTCTTTGCCTTCTCAGGCCTGATGATGGCTTGTGGAATGCCCTGGATGTATCCAAGTTGTCGAACCACTCGATCACACATATATGGCTCAATGATGTTACGGTACTGGATGAAGCCAATGAATAGAGTAGCAGGCACGCGTTGTGCTGGATCAACTCCGTACGATAGCCAGTTTACCTCATTGTCAGTCAGATGATCCAACCTAGCACGAAATGAGAGGAGGCGCTCCATGCTCTTGTTGGGGCACCCCGATCCGACATCCCAGACAGACGCATGAGGAATAATAAGCTCTCTGGTCAAGGTCCCCTGTTGAGGCCGAAAACAGGGAAAGTACTCGTAGATCCACGCCTGCAGAAGCGTAAGACAACCAGCGATAGAATCAGCATCTCTTCGTGATGCTGTACCCAACTGCCGATACATATACGCTATAACAGCAGAACCCCAGGAGTACTCACTAATCTGAACATCCTCAACAAAAAGCTCGTTGAGGAAGGAAGGATGAGTACGGTTACCACTGTTGTCCAAAAATAGACATCCGCCAAGTACTAACCACAAGTACGCCCTGTAATGGACACTGAAGGGCCTCTGCGTCTCCAAGGTAGACTCCATTATCCTCTCAGTGAGCACCCCACTACCCTGCCATACGGTTTTAGTACCACACCTCTCATTCAGCTCTTCCGCAGTCATATCCATGGTAATCGAGCATGCTTCCTATAAACGTCCGTGCTAGGAGTAGTGGAAACCATGGAACCATCGACACGAAGCCTTAGAATATGATACACATCATGCAGCATAATCGTGATCTCCCCAAATGGCATGTGAAACGTGTTCGTGTCTGGTTGCCATCTCTCAACAAAAGCAGAAATCAAGGGCTAGTCAAATCGCCTGAACATGATCCCGGGTAAGTGAGATAGACCACTACCATTATTCAGTTCCAAGTGCTCCTGCGAAAGACGACCTCGCCAGTTACCCAATTCAGTACACAATTGTGTCCTGCTCAAACACCGCAGAACATTTCGCTTCTGCCCACCCCATATATATGCAGCCACGTGACCCCTAAAACTAAGAATAACAGTACCATCCTCAAGCCCACCTGGCATCGGCTCCTGTACTACCCATGTCTCTGATGAGCTGGTAGAAGGTTGACCTGGCTCACTACTACCAACAAATCCCCCATGCTGAGCCCTATACACGGTACGATAATCCTGAGGGTCGTACTCTGAATCTCGATCAGCATGACTAGCTCGCTCGTCGTCCTGATCGTCAGATGAAGGCAATCTACCCAAGGAGTACATGGGGGTGCTCCCATCTGACTGATGCTCCCCCGACCAAGTACCAGCAGACCCGTACTGCTGCTCATGATGAAACGGTGCCTCCGAAGGTCCTACACCACCTAACTCCCTCCTAACTGATGCATTCAAACGTCTTGATCTTGCATGTCGAGCACCCGAACCCTCAATCTGCATTAAATAAGTACAAAATCAGATTTCTTTAATACTTACACACATAACTATGATATCAAAGTTGAATCACTATTATTCAAATTAAAAAATATCATTTCAAAATTATAATAAACCAAATCTAATAAACAATAATAACAACATTACCAAGGATCAATAATAACTAATAATAATTTGACAACAATAACATAAACCAAATCAAAACAATAATAAACAACAAAATCGGCAACATTACAACACAACAACAACAACAACAACAACAACAACAACAACAACAACAATAATAACAATGGTAATAACAACAACAATAATAATTTCAATCAATTTTTTATAAAATTTTAATCACGAAAAAAATTACATAACAATAACAACAAAAACAATATAATTATATTAGTAAAAAAAAAACATATCAATAATCAAGAGGAGAAAAAATTCCAAAATTAATAAAAACCATAATACATAACAATTACACATAATAATAACAATAAAAATAATTAAAATTATATTACTCAAAAAAAAAAATACATATCAATAATCACGCGGAAAAAAAATCCGAAATTAAAAAAAAACACATACATAACAATAACAATAAAATAAATAAAATTATATTATATTACTCAAAAATAATAAAAATAAAATATTAATCACGAAAAACAAGAAAACAAAAAAAAAATCGACAAACAAAAAAAATAAATTCAGAAAACCCAAACTTCCGCCTGAAAAATCCTGAAGTCTGGGCCGGAAATTTCAGGTGGATGTGGTACTTCCGCCTAAAATTTCCGGAAGTTTCCCAAGACTTCCGGATTTTTCATGCGGAAGTCTAGGTTTTATGAAATATTTTTTTTTCAAAATCAGAAACAATTAAACAACAACCAACCTGCTCGCCGCCACTAACGTCGCCCCCACGACCACCATATATCAGCCTAATGCGTCGCTGGTCCGCCATACCTGGATTCAACCTTTGATTGGTGGTGTTCGTTGTTCTTTGTTTGATTTTCAAAGTTTGGGGTATTTTTTGAAAGAAAATTTCTGATTTTTTTTTTTAATTTCTAACTTTTTTTTAGAGTGAGAAAATTTTAGAGAGAGAGTGTGTGGGTTGAAATGACTTGTGAGTTTCGGAAGTGAGTTTCCCGAGTATTTATATACGAGGGGCAAATTAAGAAATTCAAGTAAAAAATGCGAGCGTCACCTTGTAATTTACGAACGACGTTTAACAACACCCCTCCAATAATCCTCTCATCTAGAGGATCTGTATTATAGAGACACCAGCCTATACTTGCTCTTCTTTTTTCTTTTAACCACAAACCATCGCCCTGAATCTTGAACAAATTCGAGGCAGTGGATTTTCTCCTAAATTGGCCACATGAAACCCGGATTAAACACCCTAGAGTTCCTACATAACCAAAGACCCTAGAGAGTACCAACAAAGGTGCTAATCTTGGGACTCAAAATCCCCTCCGAAATAATAAAAAGTCGGATATAATCTTGGATCCAATCTGAGAGAGAAAGGTCTCCATGTAATTCTAAGTGGATGCCCAAACCTCCACCGCTCCATGTTATATTAGCCATATTGCAATCCCTAAACAGATTGGAAAAATCTTCTGTTTGCGTACTACAAAATCATAGGACATATCTTGTATTGGTACACTGCGGCGCTGAAGTTCACTCTTAACTACTAACCTATTGTGGAATAACTTCCATAAGAATAGTTTCCACTTTGGCTTTGTAGGAAGAGTCCAAAGTATTTTCCAGAATTAGTTTAGATGGTGATTAGTAAGCAGTTGTAGCAGGATTGAAAGGAATGGTGTCCTTCGAACAATTGTATTACTCCGATAGAGGGTTCGGAATTGATCAGGGAAGCTAATTATTCAATGAATTCAGGAGATCATAATGTCTATGTGGAAGTCGTTTCCAATTAGTAAGACTAATATAATTAATCTTATAGCTTTCTCTTGACTGAACCCTACGGGTCACACCTAATCGCGTAACCGAACTAAGGCGACTAATTAATCAAGAGAATTAAATACATCAATAAAGATATTACGAACTCAAACGTCGGATTTCGAGCTTTGAGCGTGGAAGTCGAGCGTTAAACATTGAGACAATTCTAGGAATCGACGAGACGAAAAATAATCAAACGACACGACATGTATGTTAGGCTCTCAAGCCTAGCACAAGGCCTTCCCGCACAACACTAGTGGGGAAAAGGCCAAACCACAGCCCAAGCCCTCGCATGGTACTGGCCAAGGGAAGTAGGGCGGGGCGTGCTATCGCAACACAAGCCCTCGCATTGGTCGATTTGCATGCGGGCTGAGGCATGTAGGGATGTGCGTGCTGGCCGAGCTAGCATGCGTGACTGCTATGCTTGTTGGCCCAGCCGAGAGCATAAGGGCAGGCCACAAGGCACCCTTATTTCCTATGGCAAAGGCCGGTCACGTGGCACTCATGTATTGAGAAAGAGATTTTACTTGGGGAGCAAGGGGGCTTGTGGTCCTCACCAAACCTTTCCCCTGTGTGTGCCAAGTGTTGTTTGTTAATTTATTTTGAACTAAATTAAATGCTATCTTTTCTCACTTTATCGCAAGTCCTACATTAAAAGATTTATGAGGGATAAGAGATGTCATGCGTATAAATACCAACCTTGGGCGTTAGGAAAATCACTTGAGTTAAACTCGAAAAAGGCATCTCTGATATAAACCGTGAGAAAACCTTTGGAGTATGAAAATATTTTGGTTTACGGTTTCGTCTAGCTACGAAACCTAACCTAGTTCGGGCATGAGGGTGTGCAAAGTAGGAGGAATTTGGATTATGGTTCTTTGGCTTTCGGCATCAAAGATTGTTTTTGTGTACGAGGTGAAGCACGCATCAAGGGTAAGATAGTCTTTCCCTCTGTGTATGTGTTTATTGCTTTATTTATTATATGCATGTTAGTCATATTAATTTATTCATGTGGTCTGGGGCGGGGTTTGGTTTCGCACAGTGTTTGGAACACCATAAAACCCAACAGCAGTATTAGAGCCTCTTGTATTTAATTTTTATGACTAAAATTAATTAAGGGGATTTAAAATGGATTTAAGATCTGGATAATTAGCAACCTTATTAGATTGGGGTTTTGGTTTTTATTGGATAAAAATTGGACTAATGCTAGAATGCAAGTACCAACCCAGATTTCGACGAAAAAGTAGTAAATTTTGGGTGGAAATCAAATCTAACTTTAACCACAAAGTGGTTAAAATTTGTGTTTAATTCCACCCAAAACCATGTTTTTCGAGGGATTTTTTTGTTTAGAATGAGAAAATTTTAAATCATTGGACCTTAATTAATTTTGGCGTATAATGATTGATTATGTGAGTGCTTTGGATTTAATCTACTGCAATTATACTCCCCTTAATGCATGAATTTGGTTAATTTATGGATGCTTAATTTGGAGTGCCTAATTTTTCACTTAAACTTGATTTTGCTAATTAAATATGCAATTGGATTGCTCTAATGACTTGGTTTATGTTAAATGGGATTAATGACTTTTGAAATAGTTAAAGATTGAATCTTTATTGGATTATGATTTGGATCTTGACTTACTAAAACTCTAAATAAACAAAATTTAAATTCTAATGATTTTGGAAATCGATTTGAGATTCATGTTGTTCATGTTTATGTTTGAATATTGTTCTTCATTGGATGGTTGAAATATTCAAACTTGGTAGAGTCCTTTGAATAAATTATTTTTTAGTGCATGGTTAATTAATTTATTTGATTAGTTTGTCAAAGTCATAATTAATTTAATCACTAGATGAGTTAATAATTATGTTGCATGCCCTAAAATTTTGATTAAATCAAAATAACCTAAAATTATTAAAAAAAAAATGGTTCTAGGAAATAATTTTGGTTGTTGCACTTAGCTTGAATTAGTTTGGTTAGACCTAAAATTAATTCAAAATTGGATTTAGAATTAAAAATCGAAAACTTGATAGGCCGTCGTCGAGCCTACCAAAGATAATAATTCTTATCTTGGTCTCACTAACAATAGTAAGGGTAAGAAAGGGTCGAACCCAAGAGAGGCGTTGAATCAACCACCGAGTACTACCGTTTAAATAAGCTAAACGAATTCTAAATTGGGTTGGTTTTTAGTAACTTCTTCTAACACAATTCAACTAAGCTAAGAGGAGGTTAACAATATTAAGAGGAATCTAGGGCTTGGGTTATACCACTCAACTTCATCACAAATCACAATTA